GATTCCCGCTCCCAACCCCCCCAAACATTATAAATGTATAGTTCAATATCCTTTCCAATTCAAAAGATTTGGAAAGAAAATTTAAGATACTGGGGGAATAGCAGCAGATACGGGATATAAATCCCATTCCAAGCACCAAAGAACCAAAAGTTGCCAGGCTGATCTGTAATCAGATTAGATTCAGGGTGTCCAGGCGTCTGACAAAATGTCTTTAGTGAAGTTTAAAAATTTTAAATCAATTTCGGACTGCTTGATATGAAACAGGCCACCAATTGAAGCAGTTGAGACAGAATTAGAGGATCGGAATACTCATAGGGATTCATCAAAACTTTGCTGAGTAGAGGAAGAATTCTAAGAATATCTATCAACATTCTCAACATAGACTTATTAAAAGAAGTGTAGTTCTTTGTCTGAGTGTTTGGGATAAATCAAATAAATAATCAATAAATAAAAAGAGGAATCAAAATGAACAGCAGAATTTGTCCCTAGTGGCTAATCCTGTAGAAAAGCATCTAAGCCAGAAGCCTTTGGATCTGGACGCCAACTAAAAAACTAATGCTGAAATCGATTGAGACTCAACGCAAATACATCCATTTGAAGGGAACCAGAAAGACGATTGACATGAACAAAAATCTGGTAATCCAGCTGCCATCTCCGTAATTCGTCAGGAGCCTGGAGTTCCAAAACACAATCACGTTGGACAGACCTGGTAGGTATTCCGCTTTGAGGGTTTTCCCCAAAATGTTTGGCAAGATGTGCAAGTTGTTTGTAGTTCGTTCTTCCTAGATGATTTATATATTATACCGCTGAAATGTTGTCCAAACAATTCACCTGATATTTCACAAACGACCCCGCTAACAATTCTAGATGATTTATGTATAAAACAATCTCATCTGAGGACCACTTTCGTCCTGTGGAGAATGAACCACACCAAGCTCCCCAACCCATACGAATCAAGTCAGACTAGATGACCAAGTCTGGAAGGGATCTGAATATGATTTTCTCGTTCCAGGCTTGAACATGTTAGAGCCACCAAAGAAGTTCTTCTCTGGCTTCAATGTTTAACCCCTGAAGGACACATGACGTGTGTGACATGTCATGATTTCCTTTTATTCCAGAAGTTTGGTCCTTAAGGGGTTAAGGGAATTTTGGCTTAGTATCCTAAACCATTTCATAAGTGTGCTGATTTTAGGCTTTGCTGCTTTAGCTGTTTCTAACTCAAAAGTAAAATCTGTAATTTACCATGCCATGAAACTAACAAACCTATACAAGAAAGTGCATGGTAATCAGGGCCGGACTGGCCCACCGGGATAACGGGAAATTTTCCGTTAGGCCGCAGCACCTGGGGCTGGGCTGATAGCCCTAATCATCACTGGTCAGGCTCCTGTAATCCCATCGGCCATGTGTGAGCTGTGCCCATGGGAGCAGAGGGAACCAGGCGGCTGGCACAGCTCACACATGGCCAGCCAGGATTAAACAAAAAAAAACAATTTTGCGGCGGGGCGGGGCTTAGCGTGCGGCGGGGCTAAATGAGCCGGGTAACTGCAGCCCTAACTATACGGCTGGAGATCACTGGGGAAACACACATGGAGGCAGAGGAGAAACTGGCTGGGGAAGAGACTAAGAGAGAGAATAAGAAAACACAAAGGAGAAAGTATTCGTTCAGAAAGTGAATTTTTTCAGGGGACTTTTAAAATGCCATTTCAAGACTAACATCTGTTAGTGTGACTTTATAAAATTACATTGGGCTAGATTCAGGCACTTTGATAAGTTCCAAAGATATCTGGTGCTTGAGCCAAAGTCCTCCCTCGTGGTCTGTATGACTGTCATCCAAACTAGGTGGGACAAGCTAGGGGACACAGTATTAAAATATATAAGAATTAATTGAGAGATGATCCTTGAGAATGAAAACCAGGCTTGTAAAATGATAGGTGCCTTGGTCAGGGTGAGACATTGCAGTTAAAGAGTTGGAAAAAGGGGGGATGAATGGAGAATGAGAGTGGTTCCAGACAAGCTAGGAGTGTCAGTTCGGATTCATGGAGGCCAATGGGAATGAGGACGAGTGTGACCCAGTGGTGAGAATAAAGAAAAGATATGGCAAGAAGGTAACTTGGGAATAAAGGAGGGGTTGTAGATGGGGTATTTTTCCCCAGAAGGTGAGGAGAGATACTGAGGGCATTGACTGTCTATACTGATTACAGGGGGTAAACATGAAAATAGGGGAAAATATCATTTTGTTTGGGCATCATACAACATATAAATATAATGCACCATAAAACCCCTGCTTAGGTTAATATTGATTTGGGGATAGAAAATTAGTATTTACTAATGTGTGAATTGTTAGGAATTTAAAGTACATAAAAGAGATTTTGAAATGTTGACCAAAACAGCCACATTGGAGACAAAGCTAACTTTTAACATTTTTCCAAATTGACTATTATAGTTTACAATTTAAAATTCACTTTTAGTTCTCACTTTCGTAAATAGCCCTGTGTTTGTTAGCTAGGACTGGGAGTAAACAAGGACTTGCTAGAGTTCAGGAGGAACTCTAACTGTAGCATACAGCGGGCGGGGCTTAGTGTACGGTGGGGCAGGGCTTCACCTGCGGCAGGGGGCATGGCTAAATGAGCAGGGTAACTACAGCCTGGGAAGCAGGAAGTCCCTGCTTCCCCAACAACTAGTCTCCAGGAACTCCAAGTAATGTGGAAGTAAGAAGCAGGTCTGTGTGTGTGTGTGACTGTGTGGCTGTCTGCCTGTGTGTGTGACTGCCTGTGTATGTGTGGCTGTCTGCCAGTGAACAATGATCTCCCTGCTCAGCTCCCTCGCGCGCACAGCAGTGATACTGCAGTCGGAATATGACGTCACTCTGGCTCGGGCAGCCCCACTGGACCCCAGGGACTGCATGCCAGCCGCCAAGCAGCCCCACTGGACTCCAGGGACTCCATGCCAGCCGCCCAAATGGAAGAACAGAGTAAGGTGATTGAGCCTAGTTAAATCTTAATCTGTCCATTGTAATTTAAAGGGACACCCATTGCCCAAATAAAAAAATAAAAAAATAACTGTTTAGTAGTGATGTACCGAACGGTTCGCCGGCGAACGGTTCCTGGCGAACATAGCATGTTCGCGTTCGCCACGGCGGGCGAACATATGCGCGGTTCGACCCGCCCCCTATTCGTCATCATTGAGTAAACTTTGACCCTGTACCTCACAGTCAGCAGACACATTCCAGCCAATTAGCAGCACAGCCTCCCTAGCAGACCCTCCCACCTACTGGACAGCATCCATTTTAGATTCATTCTCAAGCTGCATGCTTAGTAAGAGGAGGGAAAGTGTAGCTGCTGTTCATAAGATAGGGAAAAGCATAGCTAGGTTAGGGATAAGGGTATGCTTTTTTTGGATTTTTTTTTTCTATCTAATGTAAATGCACTTAGTTGTCTGCCACTGCTGCCAGCTTCTGTGTCAGGCTCACAGTGCCCATTTCCCCAGTCAGTGCCACCAATTACATCTGGTGTCACAATAGCTTGAATTTAAAAACAAAAAACTTTTTTCACTGTTATAGATTGAATAGCAGTCAGTTGTCTGCCACTGCTGCCAGCTTCTGTGTCAGGCTCACAGTGCATACTGTGCCCATTTCCCCAGTCAGTGCCACCAAATACATCTGGTGTCACAATAGCTTAGATTTAAAAACAAAAAACTTTTTTCACTGTTATAGATTGAATAGCAGTCAGTTGTCTGCCACTGCTGCCAGCTTCTGTGTCAGGCTCACAGTGCATACTGTGCCCATTTCCCCAGTCAGTGCCACCAATTACATCTGGTGTCACAATAGCTTGGATTTAAAAACAAAAAACTTTTTTCACTGTTATAGATTGAATAGCAGTCAGTTGTCTGCCACTGCTGCCAGCTTCTGTGTCAGGCTCACAGTGCATACTGTGCCCATTTCCCCAGTCGGTGCCACCACTTACATCTGGTGTCACAATAGCTTGGATTTAAAAACAAAAAACTTTTTTCACTGTTATAGATTGAATAGCAGTCAGTGTCCTTAAAGCGGGTGTGTTACGCTCACAGTGGATAAGGTGACCAGTGCCACCACTTATATCTGGTGTCACAATAGCTTGGATTTAAAAACAAAAAACTTTTTTCACTGTTATAGATTGAATAGCAGTCAGTGTCCTTAAAGCGGGTGTGTTACGCTTACAGTGGATACGGTGACCAGTGCCACCACTTAGATCTGGTGTCACAATAGCTTTGGATTTAAAAAAAAAACTTTTTTCACTGTTATAGATTGAATAGCAGTCAGTGTCCTTAAAGCGGGTGTGTTACGCTAACAGTGGATACGGTGACCAGTGCCACCACTTATACCTGGTGTCACAATAGCTTGGATTTAAAAACAAAAAACTTTTTTCACTGTTATTGTTGTGGTTTAAATTCAGCAGACAGCAATGTTTTCTCTCAGGTATGAAGACAAGGAATGGACACAGCAGAAATACGAGCTCGGAGGGCAGTACTCATTCACACAAATGTATGGCAGAATACTACACCTAATTTTAATGTGGAGAATAGAGATCTTATAACAAAATTCTATACACATCCAAAAAGGGGTTGTCTTCACATAATACAGTCATGTCCTGTCAATTGCATATTAAAAGAACTTAAAGCACATTTGGCATTAGCTGGTCAAAGGGTGTTACTTGATTAAACAAACACTTCCCAACAAGGTGTTATCAGGATATGCAGTGCAGGGGGGAAAACAAGAAGAAGATACAAATCAGGATCAAAGGCCAGCTGTTATAATAGAGCATCCTGACATTACTAAATCTACTGTGTAGTGTGACACAGGATATAAGGGGAAAGGTGCTCATTAATCCATATCATTCCAATCTTGTATTCTGAAAGAATAACAAATCAGTAATTTCATTAATTGTCTATTATAGCACTCAGGGAAGAAAAAAAACTTCAGAACCTGTATTTCTGAAGAAAATCTCCGGGGAGCCATGGCTATAATAAGACCGTCCCTCCCTCCTGGACGAATTAAGGTTTATTAAACAATTATTTAAATTTAGGGCTTGGTATAAATTCTTTACAGATCCAATAAAATGATTGTCTGTTTCCCATGATGAAGAAGATAAAGCCTGCTTAGAGTGAAATATATTAATAACAAATTTTACTATCACTGTTCTTTGGGATCAAATAATATTAATCAGCGCATAACCAAGTCCCATGGAAAAAAGAATAATTAGGGTGCACCGAGCACTATTGTTCTTTCTGGATCAGTCTGAGGTTGAACGTTCTTTGCTTGGAATATCCAGAGTGCTTGATGGGACATCTTTTTAATCTGCTTGCATGAATCTACATCTGGTTCTCCTCGGTCAGAACGGCTCTTCTGGTGATGGCAACAACGGTTGTCAGAGGGCTGTATGGTGGATCAAAGGTTCCGGATTTGAAGAGGGATTTCACCAAGACTTTGTCGCCAGGCCTGAAAGGATGTGTGGTTGTACCTGAAGCATGAGGAATAGATAGAGACAAATCACCATAGATGCCATTCAATGTGTCTACAAGGTTCAATACATATAACACAACATTTAGGTCTCCGCTCACCATCGAAGCACCTTTGGACTTACATCATGTAGTTGGAAAAGGTCTCCCCATTAAAATTTCAAATGGTGAATAACCCGTAGTGGAACTAGGGGTCATTCTGATCTCAGCTAAAACTGCTGGCAAATTGTCTGGCCAATTGCGTGTGCTACCCAAGTCTCCTTTTGTCAATTTCTCCTTGATCGTTCTATTCATCTTTTCTACTTGCCCTGATGATTGAGGGTGATAGGGTATATGAAATTTCCAATCTATACTCAACATTTTACAAACCTGCTGTGTAACTGTTGAAGCGAAAGGAATTCCTTTATTACTATTAATCATAACTGGACAACTAAAACATGTCTACAATACAAGTAAATACTTAAGTCCACCTTTTTGCCGTTGTCATATGCATGAAGTCAGTTTGTAAAATTAACATTGGGCCTTCCACTGGAGGTAACTGTGGTTTGGTAGTATTAACTCTTGCACATGTTAAGCACCTGGATAAAAATATTGGTAACTGTCTGATCTAACCTGTTAATTACAAATAGTTAATTTAGCATAGCCAATACCCCTCTTCGTCCGACATGTCCATAGCCATGGAACTGTCGGACGAGTAACACAGAAGAAGCTTGAGGGATTGCTATGCGACCTTTAGGATCATTGAGGATACCAGAATTTGCATCAGGTGTAACAGAATGTTTACTCCAGTGAGCTAAGCTATCCGAAGATGATGCTGCCTGCATAGAAAGAATATCAGTATCATCAGTATGAGTGGCTATATGCACTGCAGTTAAGACATGATCACGAGAAACAGTACTGTAATCTGGCCATAAGGGAAAAGAGGCAGCCGCCCTTTTCGCCACCAAATCTGCAAAATCATTAACATCCCTGACCATGGAGTGATCTGTATCATGGCCCTTGCACTTCACAATAGCTAAAGATCTAGGTAACAGTATGGCCCTCAATAATCCATCAATTAATGCAAAATGAGAAACAGTTCGACCATCAGCTGCAACAAAACCTCTAGCCTGCCAAATGACACCAAAATCATGAACCACTCCAAAGGCATATCTCGAATCAGTATAAATAGTCACATCTTGATCTTTAAAAGCAATACAAGCTTGTGTAAGAGCAATTAACTCCGCCTGCGCTGAGACAAAAGGTTAAGAACCTGCAGCTATTACACTATTAGGTATTTGTACAACTGCAAAACCACAAAGGAAAATAAACCAATAACTGATTTCAAAACTCTGGCACAAAATCTTGCTCAGCCCAAAATACACAGAACCAACCTACATCAGTACCAGGTCTATCATGTTTAGTGTCCAAATTAAGAGCCATTTCTGTTGGTGAAATTTCAGCATATTTAAAAACAACAGACAATAAAAAAAACAAAAATCTGCCCCTCCAAACTGTTGATCCATTGTTACTCTTTTAAAATAATTAATAGCGCCTTCTGGAAGCTTAAACGGATCAGGACACTGAGTCCTAAGAGACACCAAATGTGATCCATAGGGAGGCTTAATTATAACAGTCTCACCAGCAACTACAAAAGGATAGGCAGAAGCAGACACATGACTGGGAACTAGTACACCATGACTCTTATAACCCTCATCCACCACTAAAACACTATCAACATGCTTATTCCCTGCACCAACATCCACAGACTTTCTAGTCACTTTCTCATTTTTTCATACCAACATCAACATTTTCTGCAGTGGATCTCACCATTGCAGAAGGATTCACAACCATCTATCCAACATGCCTTTTCCCTCTTCCAATCGCCATAAAAATTTCATCAGTATCAATATTCCGAAAAATCTTTTTTTTAATTCATCCAAACTGGGATATAATGGTACAACAAAAAGCACATAAGCAGGAGGTGCTGCAGAGGCCTGAACATACTTTGTAGTCTGATCAGGAACAAACCATAACTGAGCACACTTTAACCATCCTGTAGCTGCATTATGCATATACTTTTTATCCCATTTTGGATCTCCACCTGGACCCCACTTTTTAAAACTTTTAATACACATACCTTGCAGAATTTGCAAATGAAAATCACTAAAAGAACCCTCTCTTGGCCATGGATTACAAATCATTGTATCAAAATTATCTGACCATGCAACTAAATTTGTACAAAATGGCTCAGCATAGTAATTTCCAATAGTTTCTTGAACAAAATGGCATGGAGTTTGGCCTAATTGAGGACCCTGAGACTTGACTTGGGGAGTACGTGACGCAGCACTATTAGGGACATCTTTGGATGATTTAAATTTTACAGAATTTTGTTGGGAATTTTTTTTTTACCATTACTGGAGCCCATTTCCAACTTCACACAGATAACACTTTACAATATATAACACTTTATATATAAGCAATGCACACTTTTTTTAAACAATACAACTATACATGCAGCGCTGCAATAAACAAAAATAAGATTTATTCTACTGTGTCCAAACTGTGCACTCAATACAGTGACTAAATGTGGTCACTCAGTGGGACTGCTATACCCACTATATACAACTTACTGGTAAGATGGGACTCTAACCCATAAAATATTGATGTTTCTCTTATACAACTTAACATGGGACTCTAACCCAAACTTAACATGGGACTCTAACCCAAACTTAACATGGGACTCTAACCCAAACTTATCATGGGACTCTAACCCAAACTTAACATGGGACTCTAACCCAAACTTAATATGGGACTCTAACCCAAACTTAACATGGGACTCTAACCCAAACTTAATATGGGACTCTAACCCAAACTTAACATGGGACTCTAACCCAAACTTAACATGGGACTCTAACCCAAACTTAACATGGGACTCTAACCCAAACTTAACATGGGACTCTAACCCAAACTTAACATGGGACTCTAACCCAAACTTAATATGGGACTCTAACCCAACCTTATCATGGGACTCTAACCCATACTTATGATGGGACTCTAACCCAAACGTATAACAAAAACAAAAAGAAAGGCAAAACAAAAACAAGAAAACATTACTTTTCTGCGACCACAAAATTTTGTTCAGAGAATCCAAACAGGGCAAAGAACACAAAAATAAAACACAAAATGTTCTTACCCGATTTGGATTCTCTCTCCACTTCTGACACCATATTGTTGTGGTTTAAATTCAGCAGACAGCAATGTTTTCTCTCAGGTATGAAGACAAGGAATGGACACAGCAGAAATACGAGCTCGGAGGGCAGTACTCATTCACACAAGTGTATGGCAGAATACTACACCTAATTTTAATGTGGAGAATAGAGATCTTATAACAAAATTCTATACACATCCAAAAAGGGGTTGTCTTCACATAATACAGTCATGTCCTGTCAATTGCATATTAAAAGAACTTAAAGCACATTTGGCATTAGCTGGTCAAAGGGTGTTACTTGATTAAACAAACACTTCCCAACAAGGTGTTATCAGGATATGCAGTGCAGGGGGGGAAACAAGATGAAAATACAAATCAGGAACAAAGGCCAGCTGTTATAATAGAGCATCCTGACATTACTAAATCTACTGTGTAGTGTGACACAGGATATAAGGGGAAAGGTGCTCATTAATCCATATCAGTTATAGATTGAATAGCAGTCAGTGTCCTTAAAGCGGGTGTGTTACGCTAACAGTGGATACGGTGACCAGTGCCACCACTTATATCTGGTGTCACAATAGCTTGGATTTAAAAACAAAAAACTTTTTTCACTGTGATAGATTGAATAGCAGTCAGTGTCCTTAAAGCGGGTGTGTTACGCTAACAGTGGATACGGTGACCTGTGCCACCACTCACTGGTGTCATAATAGCTTGCATTTAAAAACAAAAAACTTTTTTCACTGTTATAGATTGAATAGCAGTCAGTGTCCTTAAAGCGGGTGTGTTACTCTAACAGTGGATAGCTGGCATCGCGCCACCACTTATATCTGGTGTCACAATAGCTTGCATTTAAAACAAAACTTTTTTTCACTGTTATGATTGAAATAGCAGTCAGTGT